GGGGGGGGGGGGGGGGGGGGGACAGACACTAACAACTCTTCTACAGCTAAAATCCCCTCCACATATGCTAACTTGATCGTCGGAGGGGTCGGGCCGAGCACCCCGACCCGACCTTTGTGCAGGTACGAAGCTTGGGATCCCCGCCGGACGCGTGGGCGAGGAGTTCCCGCCCGGAGCAAACGGGCACCTCGTCCCGATCGTACCATCGCACCAAACCGACCCAGCGGGCTCGAGGAACGCCCCGGAGAGATCCCCATCATCCGGACCCGAACCGAGCCGCCTCGTCCCCGAGGCCACGGCTCAAAGTTGTTTACACCAACATTCTGGCGCTAAAAGGAGGGCCCGATGTCGAGGGATCGCCAGTCCGACTCGGCCGAACCCGTAGTCGAGGGGGCGCACCCGGTCGGGGCTCCGGGGGAACACTCCCCGCGGACGGTCCTCCGCAACGAACACCCCGTCGTAACTTCAGAGCGCTATTGGCGGATCTTCAATGACCAGGGTTTGCTGCCACCCGACGCCCCCTCCGTCGAACTGTCGCCCGTCTCGTTCGAGGCCTTTCTCAACCTTGCCCATCAGGTCCAAGGTCTAATCGGAATGGTACAGTCCATCATTCCACTCGTCTCTGGAGCGCTGCACCCGCCGGCCGCCGAAGCGGTGCACCAGCAGGAGCCGCATGTTCGGGCTCAGGTGCAGCCCCTGGAGCTCCCCACTTCGCCTCGGGTCCCGTCGTCCCCACTCGGGGATCGAGTAATGGCGGACCAGAGAGGTCACGCTCAACTCGAGGCCCTTCCTTCGGCCTCGATTGACTCCCTGCGAGCCCAGTTGCTCCTCATCAGTCAACGGCTTGACGAGGTACAGAAGGAGGTATGCAGGTCAAGAGGAGAGCTCGGGGAGGACGTACATCAGGGATCCCCATTCGTCCTTGAAATACGGGATCAGACAGTCCCACAGAACTTTCGTCTCCCCTCTCTGGACACATACGATGGCTCCACCGACCCAGCGGACCATGTAGCCGCCTTCTGCACCCAAATGACACTGTATGGAACCTCTGACGCTCTGATGTGCAGGGCGTTTCCCACAACTCTAAGAGGACCAGCCCGCGCATTGTATGGCGGCTTGAGGACCGGGACGGTCGCCTCATTCGACCAGCTCGCCAGAGACTTCGAGCTCAACTTCCTGGCCAGCGCACGGTCGAAACCGTCCGTCGCCTAGCTTCTCGGACTACACCAGAGGGAGGACGAGTCCCTCTCCTACTTTGTGAACCGTTTTGCCACGCAGATCCGGGGATTATCCGATGCTCACCCCTCTCTGTTGATGCAAGCGTTCATGGCGGGACTGCGACCTTCCCGATTCTTCTGGTCCCTCGTTGAGAAGCCCCCTCCGTGGTATCTGAGATACTTCAACGGGTGAGCCAGTTCGTTGCGGTCGAGGCTTGGGTGGCCGGAAAACAGGAAGAGTGCACGAGGGTCAGACTTGAGTCGGCTCGCGGGCAGCAGCCTGCCGTGACTAGGTGTAGGCTGGAGCAATCCGACCCGCCTGCTCTGAGGCCTCCTCTGCCCCCCCTAGGTGCATCCCGAACGGAGATATTTCTCCAGATAAAGGAGAGAGGGTTGCTCAGGGCTCCCGTTCCGATGAAAAACCCGCGAGAGCTCGCTGACCAATCCAAGCACTGCCGCTTTCACAGACAAAGTGGGCATGACACCGAAGACTGCCGCGAACTAAAATGGCAGATCGAGGAACTGGTCTGCGGGGGTCACCTCAGTCGGTACGTCCGATGTAACAGGGAGCCCTCCCCTCGCCCGGAGGGCCCCGTGGAGCGCCACATCGATGTCATCACCGGAGGACCGACGGCAGGGGGAACCAGTATGTCCGGGAGAAAAGCGTATGCCCGTTCCGCCAGGATCGATGCTCCCCAGTGTGGTCCCGACCCCAAGGTCGCGTTCCCTCCCGAGGACGTCAGGCCACCGGAGCATGACGACGCGCTTGTCATAATGGCTCGAATCGCTAACGCCCAGGTGAGGAGAATCATGATTGACATGGGGAGCTCAACCGACGTGCTCTATCTGGATGCCTTCCAGAAATTGGGGCTAACCCAAGAATCCCTGAAGCCTATCTCCACGGCACTCACGGGATTCATCGGTGACTCGGTCTCACCATTGGGGACTGTTACCTTGCCCCTCACTTTGGGAGCGCCGCCCAGAACAAAGACAGTGATGTCCACCTTCTTGGTGGTAGATCTTCCCACTGCTTACAACGCCATCCTCGGCCGCCCCACCCTCAATAAAATCAGAGCTGTAGTCTCCACCTATCATCAGACGGTGAAGTTTCCTACCCACGCCGGGACAGGGGAAGTTTGGGGAAGCCCCCAAGAGTCCAGACGATGCTACTTGACGGCAGTTTCGCTGCACAAAAGGGCGAAGACCGACCAACCTCTAGAGGACCCGAGAGAAGCGAAGCGGCCGACACCACATTCGGAGCCGATGGCGCTCACTTGTGACGTGTCGTTGATGAGGGCTCGCCCGAATCGGACAATCCGGGTCGGGTCGGAACTCCCCGGGCAAGAACGAGAGCAACTTGTCAGTTTCTTGCAGGAGAATGCCGATGTCTTTGCCTGGTCGCCATCTGACATGGCCGGCGTCGACCCCGAGACCGCCCAGCATCACCTGAACATATCACCCGATGCCCGGCCAGTAAAACAGAAGCCACGACGCCAAGCCCCTGATAGGCAACTCGTCGTCCGCAAAGAGGTGGAGCGACTCTTAGCGGCCGACTTCATCGAGGAAGTCAAGTACTCATGATGGCTGTCTAATGTAGTGCTGGTAAAGAAGTCTAATGGGAACTGGAGGATGTGAGTTGACTACACGAGTCTCAATCGTGCATGCCTAAAAGACTGCTATCCCCTCCCAAGGATCGATCAGCTAGTCGACGTAACTACCGGGCACTCCCGCTTGTCGTTCATGGACGCCTTCTCCGGTATCAACTAGATCAGAATGGCGCCCGAGGACCAAGAGCACATGACTTTCATCACCGATCTAGGGGTGTATTTCTACAAAGTCATACCGTTCGGGCTCAAGAATGCCAGCGCTACCTATCAGAGGTCCGTGAACAAGATGTTCACCCCACAGATCGGGCGAAACGTCGAAGTATATGTCGACGACATGATTGTGAAAAGTCGCGTGGCGGCCGACCACCTGACCGACTTGGCCGAGACATTCTCCACACTCCGGAGGTATGGCTTGCGACTTAACCCGGTGAAGTGCATTTTCGGCGTCAGTTCGGGAAGGTTCCTCGGATTCATCGTGCATGAAAGAGGAATCGACGTGAATCCGAAAAAGGTTCAGGCAGTCATCAACATATAGGCCCCTCGAACAGTTAAGGACTTGCAGCGACTAAACGGACGGCTTGCTGCCTTATCCCGGTTTCTATCTCGGTCTGGTGATCATTGCCTCCCCTTCTTCTGGGCGTTAAAGAACCCCAAGGACTTCCGGTGGACGGCGCAGTGTGAAGAGGCTTTGGGACAGATCAAGCAGCACTTGGCCAGCCTCCCCCGCCTTGCCTCTGTTACTCCCGAGGAGAAGCTCAGCGTCTACCTAGCCACCTCCCAGCATGCGGTCAGCTCTGTCCTAACCAAAGAGGCTTCTGCGGAACAACTACTGGTCTACTACATCAGCCATGTCCTGAACAGGCCCGAGGAGCGGTATCCGCCAATCGAGACGCTCACTTTGGCACTCGTGCTGGTGGAAACTACGCCCCTACTTCCAGGCTCACCCGATTGAGGTAATAACTGACCAGCCGCTTCGGCAGGTTCTGTCTAAGTTTGATGTCACAGGACGACTTCTCAAGTGGTCGATAGAACTCGAAGAATTTGACATACGTTACGTCCCGAGGACTGCTATCAAGGCCCAGTCCGTGGCCGACTTCATCGCGGAACTGGTAGAAGACGGGAATGGAAGCTCCGAGCAATCAGAGGAGGCGTGGGACCTGCATGTGGACGGCTCGGCTACCTCTAGCAGCGCCGGCGCGTGGTTGGTACTCTTGGCCCCCGACGGACGCTCGTTCGAACGCTCCTTCCGCTTCGGCTTCCGGGCAACCAACAATGAAGCCGAGTATGAGGCGCCCTTGGTAGGACTCAAGCTGGCCCTTGAAATGCAGGTGGACGCCATCCATGTCTTCACTGACTCGCAGCTCATCGCCGAGCAGCTCAGCGGTGGATACGAAGCCAGGGAACCGACCATGACAAAGTACTTGGTGGAGGTAAAAAGCCTAGCCTCCAACTTCTCCCACTTCACAATATCCAGGGTGCCGAGGAGCCAAAATGAACGAGCCGACGAGTTGGCGAAGATGGCTTCAGGACCAGATCACGGAAACTGCCCCGAGGTCAAAGAGCTCCCATTCCGCGCTATCTCGGTTTCGGCTATAACTCCTGCCGAAGCACGCGCCACGTGGGTATAGGAGATGTTACTCTTCAAACGCAATGGGATTCTTCCCAATGACGAAGCCGCGGTGCGCCGCATCCGCTGAACACAAGCGTGGTATTTCGAGGTGAACGGACGACTCTACAAGCGGTCCTTCTCATAGCCCCTGCTATGATGCCTCGAGCCTGATGAAGCGTAGGCTGTCCTGGCCGAGGTCCACGAGGGGATCTGCGGGGAGCATATGGCTGCTCGGACCTTGGCCTACAAAATCCTTCGCCAAGGATACTACTGGCCCACCATGTCCCGAGACGCGAGAATCTACGTGTAGAGGTGTGGGCCCTGCCAGAGGCACGCCCGAATGCCCCGGATGCTGGCGGTTCCCCTGTCCCCCATCGACTGTGCGTGGTCATTCGCGCAATAGGGATTGGACCTCCTCGGCCCTTTTCCACCGGCCTCGGGGTAACGACGATGCATCGTCGTGGGCATAGATTACTTCACCAAATGGGCCGAAGCCAAGCCACTAGCGGCAATCACGGAGCGGCAAGTGGAGAAATTCGTCTGGAAAAACATCGTGAATCGGTTTGGCTTGCTCGAAGCCATCATCACAGACAACGGATCCCAGTTCACCAGTGCTCGATTCCAGGAGTTCTGTGCGAACTATGGGATTCAGCTGAGGTTCAGCTCTGTGGCCCATCCCCAGACGAACGGGTTGGCCGAAGTCACTAATCGATCTATTCTAGACGGACTCAAGAGGAGAGTGTCAGCGGCCCAATCAACCTGGGCGGATGAGCTCCCCAGTATCCTGTGGTCCTTGCGGACCACCCCCAAGACCGTAACCGGAGAGTCCCCTTACGACCTCTCGTTTGGGACCGAGGCTGTCTTGCCCCCCGAGATGGTTTTCCCTACCCCGAGGACGGCAAGCTACGACGAACGGGTATCGGCCCAGGGACTACGAGCCGATCTCGATCTACTCGAGGAGCGGCGCGCTAACGTGCACCTGAAAGGCCTCTCTTATAAAAGGGCTATTGCCAGAATCTATAACCGCAGGGTACGACCTCGACCAATTAAGCTGGGTGACTTAGTCTTACGCAAGGCCGAGGTTAGTGACCCGACCTGAGCACGTGAGAAGTTAGCTCCCAATTGGGAAGGCCCTTATCGGGTGACCGAAGCTGTTAGGGTCGGTACGTACCGACGAGCGACGATGCAGGGCCACGCTTTGCCAAGGGCTTGGAACTCGCAAAATCTCAAAAAGTTCTTTCCGTAATGCGATAAACTAGGACTCAACAGAAGTTAGAATTATATTACGACACTAGATAGTATAGTGATCGGCAAACCACAAGCCAGGAAAAAAGACACTTGTGAGGGCAAAAACAGCTATATTAATTTCGGAGAGTACATTAACATTAGTGGTCAACAGAAAAGTCTACATTTATTCGTCAGGAGCGTCAGGGCTACCATCAAATGGGACTTCGTCCGGCATATCGACGCCCATGTCCTCGGGGAAGGAGTCGAAAGGATCCTCCGCGACCTCCAGGCCGGGGTGGCGCGCCTTGAAGTGAGCAAGGGCAATCCGGTAACCGTATTCGTACGAAACCCGCCCAGTCCGAACAAGGCCAAGCTGAAAGCCCGAGGAACCTTTGTAGTCCTTGATTAGTTTTTCGTCCTTCTCCGACCTCTGACGGATCTCGACGGCAAGGGCCTTGGCAGCACCCCGCGCCACTGAGGATGTCGATGACCCGCCCCGCGTCATGGATGCGGTCCATCAGCACCGCAGCATAATGAGTGCCCTGCAGACAAATGAGTTATGACGAGAACTATCCGAACACACGCAACCGAACCAGCAGAATGACACTTACCCACAACAACGACTTGGCAGACCTGCCAAGAAGGACCTCGAAGGGCAGAGTGTACAGGTCCCGAGCTATGTCGGGATGGAGCCCTCCGCGCACAAACCCGACCGCGGAATCCCCGTCGGCCCACACCCGGCTGCCACGGGTAAAGCCTTCCCAACGGGCCCTCAGCGGGGTGGAGGGCTCGCCCTGAGGAAGGTCGCCTATCGCCCGCGCCTGGTAGGGCTCGTCCATGCTGGAGCCGGCTTCTCCTCGCCCGAGGCTCTTCCCGACGCGGACGGCCGGTGCGGCGATGGTTCCCGCTGGCTGAGCCGTAGCTTCCCCGGAGTCCTTCGCCGAGGAAGTCTTCGCCTTCTTCCGAGGACGGCCAGCCTCAACATCCACCGGGGCCTCTCTCGAGCCAACCCTCGCCTCGGCCGGCGAACGAGCGGATGGGGCCGACGGGGTCTTACCCCCATGTAGGGCTCGGAGAACCACCATCTCTGCGTAAAAGCACTAACATGGGTCAGCCGACTGGATAATCTCTAAAAGAAACCCTAAAACTACCCCTGAGGGCATACCTCGAGGCATCGAGCTAAGACCCGCCTCGACCAACCACTGCTCGGACATACTCCGGATGGCTCTTGAGGCTGGGAGGATTTATTTGAGCCTCTAGAGCTCTCGGCACTCCTCATCGTCCAAACACGGGGCGGTGTTGTCTATCACGTGCTGTCACGGACAAACTTCTAAACATGATGTTTGATGTAATGCTTTTGTATGTCCATGTCTTTTGGTATGTTCATGCCTTGTACAACATGTAGAGGGACGATCGAAGGCTTAATAGTCCCATTTTAGTTGGGTTGGTGGCCTCTTTAGGCTTGTAAATAAAGGTTGTGTCATGTGGACACGTGCGAGAGATTTTTGGTCTGTAATGGACCATTTTACCCTTTGTTGTGCAACTGTTCAGAGCTTGTAAAGTCTGTTTGTAATTTGTATTGTCTATGAAGTGTTTTTCAGAGATGTTTGCTTATGGATCCCGATTGAGGCGTTCTCTCTAACCTGTTCTCTCTTTTGTTGGTCCTAAGGGACAATGGGAGGCTTCGGGGAGGCTGACCTTTGCGGACGGACACGCAAGGGTGCCGCACGACTTAGGCAAAACCAGCTAAGTCCGTGACAGATGGTATCAGAGCGGGACAAGCACTCATAGAAACACTTAGCATGTAAACGTGGGGGACCTAGCGGGGCTGCGTTGAGGGCAGTCAGCACACGCGCGATCGTTTGGGGGAAAACGGGTATGGAGATGTAAGGAAAAGGAGTCGCTCGGAGGAGCGGGCATCTGACATTGGCATTCAGAGGAATGGCCAACCCTTCGCGCAAGAGGCACCATGAGAACAGGCAAGCTTGGAAGAATGCGGAGCGCACAAAGGTTGGGATGGTTGAGTTTGAGCTATGGCTCAACGTTGACAACCATACTTGATGGTGCTCAAGGCAAGCGAGAAGCTTGGTAAGAATGAGACCAAGCAAGGTGGAATGAGTTGCTCAGCGATTGAAAGAGTTGTGCAAAGCTCACAGAGGTGAGGGGAATTGCTAACTCAAAGAATTCGGTACTCATGCATGGGCTTGTATGCGGACGATGGAATGTTCGCGGCCATCCCAAGGCGACCGAAACTCGGTGCCATGGAGCATTGGAACTTTCTCTTCGGCATATGAAGGATACGTCCGTAGGTGGCTGGAGTGTGTAACGAGTTCATCATGTTGCTAGGCCTTGAGTGGTGCAACGGGGGCTGTATTGACATGGAGTCGCAATCTAGCAAGTGCGTTTGTAGGAGGTAGAACAATGCACAGTTTGTTCAGCAGATCAGAGTAGTCCAAGGGGATGGTGGTCTCCGAAACGAAGAGAGATGTTGCTCCAATGGGACAGTTATCCAGGAGGGATAAGACCCGGCTCTCCAGAGGGAGAATCATGTGAGACGTACCTCACATGTTGAGGAGGAGTACCTCAACAAACAACGACTCCACAAAGCTCAATGGACTGAGCAAGCGGCGATGAGTCATCGCATGATCTCGCTTGAGAGAATGCATTGGTGGATGCATTGCGAGATCACGTGGGGGAGCGACCCAAAGCAACTTAAATGAAGGCACACTTGGAGTCGATATGGAGATCGGACTCAAGGGAGGGCTGACCCGTGGAATGGTGGGCGCGAGGGCCACCATCAACTCAATGCAAAAACGAGGAGCGGAGCAACTTGGGTGTAACTTAGCGAAGTACCCAAGCCGCATGAAGAGAGCCAGCATAGAAGTTGGAACATGGAGCAGAGGCACATTGCTTTCCTTAGACAGAGGTCAAGGACATGAACTCTTGTAGAGGCAAGAGTAGAATCATGTTGTTCCATGGGTCATTCATTCTATCAGAGAGGACTCATCTTGCATGGTGCCAAAGATGAATGGAGCTTCTGGGCATATGCACCTTATCTCGGAGGAGCATTTGATGGAGGAACTAAGGTGACTCAATTTGCGGAGGCGAAGTTGGGTTCAGAAGGCCTTAGCACGGGGCAAGAGGACGTAGAGGCGGGTACTCTTGAAAAATATGCCATAGTGTTGCCATTCAATTTGCCATGAAGAAAGCGGTGCGCAGCGGAGATTGTGCTGGTAGGGGCAGAGGCACAGGATCCAGACAATGGTGCACAAATTACAGTGAAGTCGGTGGACTTCGGGAGCTACTAGGTGACGGACTGTCCTAGAGCGGTGCTTCATCTAGGTATGAACTAAGAGTGGGTGGATGAAGGTCGATTGCCAAAGGAGAGAACAAAATCGAAGGTGGAAGGGACCCTGCGATGTATTGGCATAGGCCACACATGGAGGGTTCACAATTCAAGTTTATTCCACAAGGATCAGAATGCAATAGAGATGTCACCAGGAGGCGACATGGTGCAGCGGATCATGGTGGAACAGTTCGTGGCAATGTGATACACACGACATGGTCCCGTGAGGGACTAGTTCATACGGAGGTATGATCGGGAGCTACTGGAAGCTCCACTTCGGTGAACAACACAACGGCAAGAAGGGCTATAGATTCAAGGAGTGAAGGCTATGGTGCCGCAGAGGTGGGTCTTCTGGGCGTGCATCGAATATTGCATCGGATGAAAACCTTGGTCATCAGCATATGGGGGCTGGGTTCCACCAAAGGGAAAAGTTCGAATGCAAGTAC